TAGGCATATTGTGTAACTATTCTTATGTAATATTTGTACTAGTAAAAAACAATTTTCAAATCGGATTGAAGAATCTAATTTTTGGATAAAATTTTCTAATTTGGGGGCTTTACAGGTAAGTTAGGAAGGATCTGAGAAATGTGGAACTAATAAAAAGGCTAATTGGATGTTTAGAAAATTTTAATAAATGCTAGAAAAGTAAATTTTCCAAGGCAACCTAATGAATTTTCCTAAATTAACCAGTAAAATAACCTGCAAAAGCAGATTTTAGTTTTGTCTTTTTTCTAGTATCCCAGTAAGTTTTGGTTTGTTTGCTATAAAATATATATCAAAATGACTAATATGAAGTGCTTGTTATTTTTCTAATAGGTAACAAAGTTTAATTAATTAGTAAATATTGAGCAAATTAGCAAAAACCAAACTGTTGGTTTTTGCAACTTTTCTCAGTGGCCAAGTGTTGCAGGAGCTTAAAACTTGGCCGCCTAGAAGGAGAAAAGTGAGCTGAGCAGCTTTACTTAGAAGTACAAGTAAGGTTTACTTAGTAAAATATTGAGAAATAATTAAATGTTTTTAGCAAAAATTTGGTACAAGTAATCTATGGAGAGAGTTGCAGAATTGGTCCTACAAGTTTCATAATTAAATAAAAACATTTTCTTTATTATATAAGTTTCAGTGAAATTTTCATACAATTTCCATTATTTGAACAATATAATTTCAGAAGTATTCTATAAATATGCAACATTTATAGAAAGAATATGAAAGTTGATATTTGGTAATTTAAATGAAAAAAACATGGAATTCAAACATGAAAAAATAATAGAAAAATAAAGCTTAAATTTTTTTACAGGGCTGGCTATGCTTCTTTAAAGCTAAAATCCTTGTTAATTTTTCAGCAATTATAACTGCTCCTAGAAACTGTTTTGTTTATATCTTTACAGACTCACAATCTGTTATCTTCAAATATTATAATATCTACTTATTAGCATTTAAACTTTCTCATACTTATACTTTATATTTCTTTATTTGACAAACTCTTATCAACTTCATTAAGTTATACAACATTCAGCTTACTTTTCACAAAGTTACTGTACACCAAGATGACCTATTTAATAATCTTGCTGACCAACTTGCTCATAGTTACCAAATACTACTCTTTTTAACATTTTTAACTAACAACTTTTACAATCCTGTCTATACTCTATTTATTGACCAATTTCCTATTGAGATTCCCATTTGACACTCTATTCATACTATCTGTCAAGCTTATATCATAACACTTTGGATATCTCAATATTATTTTTAATAATGGTCTATCATTGCTACTAACATTAACTGGAAAGCCACTTGGCTTTACATTAATAATAATCAAAAGGGTTCTAACTTTGCTCATAGTTTTCATTCCTTTACTCTAAAAACCTTTTATATTAAAATTCTTTTGGATAAACTATCTGTTTCTCACACTCTTCACAAATATAATTCCTTTTACTCTCCTCTCTGTCATCAATACAATCAAACTAGCTCTTCATTATACTGGGACTTTTTGTCTTTCTACCCAAACAATTTATCACTTAATCTTTAATTCTTTTAATTGCATCTTAAATGCTACTGCTCTTGACATGTCTACTAATCTTGTTTCTAATTTACATTAAGAAATTCTTACACTTAATATCTTTAAATTGCATAACTCTTCACACATGCCATACCTTATTTCTACCTTATCTGGTTTAGTTCCTATTGACCTTATTTCTACTATTCATAATACTTCTATTTTTTACTGTACAGTTACTTCTCTTTTTATTAAATTTTTTCTTCATTTAAATCAACAAATATACAAACAAATATAAATTCCATATTGTATTTCATATTTTGCAGTCTCAAAACATATTTACTACAAATTTAACTCATAGTTCTTCTTCTAGTCTACTCTTTATTTCAGTACCTCAAATTATTACCAAAATTGACCTTTGGACTATCCAATGAATTAAATATTATACTTCTCTCTCTTATATTATTACTAATACCCAAATTTAGGTGAGCCTTGGCCACTCTTGTAGGTTTAGGTTACAGATTATATGTCTGAGTCTTTATTCTTCATATGTAATTTAAAAGCAAGCTTTTTTTTGTAAAAACTTCAATTGAATTTCAATAAAATTAAAGGCATGGCCTCATCATTAATATTTAAAAAAATAAAAAAAAAAAACTAGAAACTTATTTAAAATTTTCCAAGTAAAAAGATAATATAGACTTTCAATAGTATCATTAAACTGGTTAAAGCCTATAAACCATTCTTAAAAAAACAAATTAGATAAACTAAATACAAATATATGTAAAAGAATATATAACCAATTAGATTATCAGATTTACTAAAGAAAATAATACAAAAATATACTATACTAGGTTATCTGAATTGGTAGTCTAACTAGAGTTTTTAGTTTTAAATAGCAATTAGTAAAAAATAATAGAAAAGATATTAAAAAGATAAGTACTAAGATTCTAGTGAATTTTATAAAAATAAAAATAATGTAATATAATAGTTAAATAGATAACTTCTATAATTACAAGTATTAGGTAACAGAAGATGATGATCCTAATGTAGTGGTTGGGTTGTCATCCTTCAAGTGGCAGGTCTAAGGTTCAAATCTCACCTATGATGAAATTTGATAATTAACTTGTGTTATAGTAAACTGTCTTTTGTCAATCAGTTGGATTTAGGTATCTGTAATTTTGGATAAACCAATCAGATTTTACTTGTCATTAGGAGCCTAGAGCATCTATGTGAAGTATAACATTATATATACATAGAGGAATGTTAATAACTGATGTTGTATAAGACTTTGGTGTAAACCCATGATAAGACCACCAGATGTAAAAGACCAAGAAACTGAGAAGATGAAAGCCTACTTGGAAATTCTTAAGTAAAGAGATAATATAAGACTTTGATAATGCTATCAGACTGATGGAAGCCCAGGAAACTCCAACAAGGAATAGGCAGATGTAACCAGATAGAAAGATATATAGAGAAACATATGACCAACCAGGCTACTAGAATTACTAAAGAAAAAAGATACCAAGGTATACTATATCAGGCTATCTGGATTGGGAGTCTAGAGAGTCTGTCAAATTCTGCATTGGATAGTAGAGAGATAAAAAGAAGAAGTCAGAAAGATAGGTATCAGGGTTTGGATAAACTTTACAAAAATAGAAATAGTGTAATGTAGTGGTTAAACAGATAACTCCTGTAATTGTAAGTATTAGATAACTATAGCATGTTACATAAAACTAGGTTAGCTGTATGTAGGACATGAAAGGTTCTAGTAACAATACTTCTGAGGATACGCTGCATAAAATAAGATATAGGATTCTAAGGAAAATGGATAAAAGTATCTAGACCTTCTTAACTGATATCTGTATCAGAAATAATCTAGTAACACAATAAGAATTACAGTACAGAGGGTTTAAATAGGCAATGCCTCTAGTTGGGTTGCAGGTATAATAGCTAATGTAGAACTATTGGCAGACTACTTAAATTAGATACCAAAAGTATATATATGGCTAGTTGTACTCTTTAATGTAAGGTGACTTCTTTGAGGCTTTGGCCATGAGTTCCTATGTTCTAAAATTACTAAATAAAGCCCTAAGCCCAAAAAAGACTAGTTTAATAGAAAAAAAAAACAAGTATTAGATAACTATAACATGTTGCATAAAACTAAGTTAGCTATATATAAAATATAGCAGACTCTAGTAAATCTTTTGTCAAGAATAAAATAGTTTTAAAAATACTAATATGTATTGAAAACTTAAATAGATAACACTTTAAAAATAGAAGATGGCAATTCTAGTATAGTGGTTGGGTTGTCATTCTCCAAGCAGTAGGTCCAATGTTCAATTTTCATTAGTGACGGATTTTGAAAAAATAGACCTATTTTAGCAAACTTATCCATGATCTGGGGTTTGTAAATCCTGTAATTCTGGTTATACCAAGACTAACTTTGGAAGTGTACAATGTCACATGAATAAATCCAGAAAGTATATACTCAGATTAGAAGCCTGCTTAGAAATCCCGAACAGAGAGATAGTACAACTTTTAGCAGTGCCACCTGTGAAGATCTTGATCCATTGAAGAAAACCTAAAGCAGGGGATCTGTATAGGCAAGAACCTCTAGATAGGAAGTTCACCAACCTGACCATCAGTTAATCTGAGCATAAAGTTACATCATGCAGGCCTAACTGAATTGGTAGTATAGAAGGACTTGCAAGAGTAGACAAGGTAATAATAAGGTTGTAAAAGAAGAGTACTGGGGTTGTATGAACTTCGCAAGGGTTGTAAACTAGGTTTAGCTGTAATTTGGAATACAGAAGGCTCTAGTAATAATAATCTGCATGAAATAAGACAGAAGTCCTAAGGGTATAGGTAAGCATCTAGAACTTTTCAACTGACATCATGTAACAAAGATGTTCTAGTGATAACAGTAAGAATTGCAGTACAGAGAGTTTAAATAGGCAACACCCATAGTTGGGTTGCAGGTATGGCAGCTAGTGTAGAACCTATATATAGGTGGACTACTTAAATTAGATACCAAAAGTGTACATGTGGCTAGATGTACTCTCTAATATAAGGTAGCTCCTCTGAGATAATTAGACTGTAAGTTATCATGTCTTACAATACTGAATAAAAAAGCTTTAGTCCTCAAAATACTAGTTTAAAAAAAAAAAAAAAAACACTTTAAAAATGTTTTTATAATACAAAAGATTGTATATACAAAATGTTTAAATAAACAAAACTTATAGCTAGCTTGTAAATATAATATTTAGTATAAAATTTGTATAGTAATATATAGGCAAACTATTTAAATTAATCACCAAAAAATGCATATGTGATTAGTTGTAATCTTTAATGTAAAAAAACTTTTAAAACATCTGTGTTTTATAAAAACTTGAATAAAAATATTACTTTTTAAAGATAAAAACTTTAACTAAAAAAAAATTTTTATTAGACTTAATTAGCTATATATAGTTTTGTTAATTATGTCTTCTATATATAATATTGTTTTTAAATATATGTTTAAGTTTGTTGTTTTTATTTATATACATGTATTTTGATTTGTTGTTTTTAAACATATATTTTAAATTATTGTTTTTTTTTTTGTTTTTTTTTAAAAAAAACATATTTTGTAATAATACTTCATTGACTTTTATTAATTAGCTATTATAATTATTTTTACAGAGATGAGAATATAACTAGTCACATGTGCAACTTTTGATTGGCTATTTAAATAGTCTGCCCTAAGGTTCTACACTAGATACTGTACCTATAACTTACTAGAAGATTATTAATTTAAATTCTCTGATCATTTATCTTGTCATGATGTAACTCCAACTAACTCCTTGAATATATCTAACCAATATACCATCTAAGTAGTATAGTACTTATTCTTTTTGTATTAGTTCTCAGACCATTATACATTTTAGAATATGTTACCTGCTAGTAAGACACAGAGAACCCCCTATTGTTAACTATCTATCTACTTTTAGAACACTAACAAGAGCTACTCTTACAGAGTTCATCCAAACCCTGGCACTGACTTCATAACATATTCTTAGTATTTTTAATATATCTCTGCTTTGAACTTAGACTCTTAATCTAAATAGTCTGAAAAGACTATGATCTATTTTTGGTATATTAAGACTAACCTAATATTTTTTTTTCTGGTCTGAAATCTAATAGTCTGGTTGGTAGTACTCCTTATCCAAGATTCTTATTTGCCTAATTCCTCTACATTGGTATCCATTTCTTAGGTCTAGCTTTTATAGTAATATCATCAAAGATCTGTATTACCTCTCTATTCAGAATTTCCAAGTGAGCTCTGGCTTCTTAGTTCTACAGATTTATACAGTTCAAGAACTTATTTTAGGTTTGTACTGCCCAGTACTAGTTTGCATTCTTTTGTGTAACAGATTACACAGATGTTTCAGACCTGTTAGTTATGCTGATATGATCATAGTTACAAGTATCCTATCTCAACTGATCAACAAAATATCATTACTGTAATACCATTTATATATTACATAGATGATTATCCCAATTTTACTGTCAGTAGGTTTTGAACTTACAACCTACCACTTGGGAAGATAACAACTTATTTACTTTACTAAGTTGCCACATCTTTCTTTTAAATTATTATTATTAAACATATAATTTAATTATTGTTTATTGTTTATTTAAAGTATATTTGTTAATTTTTTAACATTATATATTTTGTTTTATTTAAGAAACTAATATTTTCTTTGTTTTAAGAAACTTTTTTTTTTCAATTTGACCAATTCAACAAGTAATTTCTTTTTTTGCATAATTATTAGCAAAATCATTAATTTTAAAAGTAGAATTATTATTTTTGTTTTGTTTTGTCTATTGTTTTTTTTCATTATTTTTAAATTTTTTGTTTTAAATCTTATTCATGTTCGAAAACTGTATTTTGTACTTTTTTAAAATAATCTGTTATAAATTTTAATGAAATTTTTAAAAATAAACTATTAAGAGATTTTTTTAATAATTTACTTTAAAATTAATTATAATTAAACAACCTTTTATTTTATATATAGTATATATATATCATATCAAAATTAATATTACACGTTAACACCAAAAAAAAAAAAAAATCAAAATTAATATTAATACATATAAATCTGTTTTAATAATATAAGGTTTTACTCTATTAGCACAAATACATAATACAACAATAAATTAAGAGAACTGCTATTCGCACCAGAATTAGTTAGAGTTAGGGTAAGTGGATCTTCATAATGTTAGTTACCATGGTGCGAATAGCAAAAATCCATGGTGAGAATAGTAATTCCCTAGATTAATTACAATGAAATTATTTGGTTTTTACAAAAACAATAACAGTTTAAAACTTTATAATAAAAACAAAGTCGGCCAATTAAATTGAAATATAAAACAAATAATTAAGATGTAGTTGACCAATAATTATTTGTAATAAAACTTCTAAAAAATTAAAGTTAAAAATATACATGTATAAAATCATTTAGTATCTGAACATAGAATGAATCTTCTAAATACAAGCTGTAGTCTATTCGAAGCCACCAAGTACATATGTTGAATTTAACCTTATACTCCAGATGATGTATTTAGAGCTCACTATAATTTTATCTAAATATTTTTTCAATTATCTTTCTTCACCGAAATCGGGATACGAAGACAATTTATCTTTAAAAACTCGCAAAATTTATTTATAATATAAATCGCCCAATGCGAATATGTCACCACAGCAAAGCCAAAGTACGCCAATAGATAATAGTATTCAGCGGTAGGTGTGAGAATCGGGGCGCTAAATTCATTCATGCATAAATAAATAAAGTTAATGTTCCCAATAAATTTAAATTGAATTTTGAGAATAATAATGAATATTTACATGTTAAAAAGTATTGGTATATTTGTCAAAACAGCCCCTATAAACAAAGGAGCCAAAAGGACAGTATACATTGGAAATGGCTTTTTGGTCAAGTGCGCCAAGATAATTTTAGTCGCAATGCGACCAAATACCACACCAACAGTAAGTGCAAACAAAATGAAGTGTTTATGCTTCAGAATGCTTGAGTAAGGAGATGCGAGCCAAAAATGTCCGCACAACGAATATAAAGCTATTGTAAAGAGTTGAGAAATAGCCGTGAGAAATGATTTTTTTTTATCACGACATGATAAATATACATTGTATATACTGTAATAGTAATATTAGATTAAAAATAAATAAATAAAATAAGAAAAACTTGAATTACAATTTAATATAGTCGCGGTACCTGTTTGGGATATGTAAACCCACTACAGAGAAAAGCATGAAAAGGAGGATCAAGTCTACCAAACACCAATTAGGTGGAATGAATTCCGGCACAGGATTCATTACATTTTGCAATTCATCCATCCACAATCCTGGACCTACGAGAATTAGAATATTAATTCAATGAAATTATACAAAATCATATTTAGTAATTTACGATATAATCACCTTTAACTGCAGAGATTACCATCAATATACAAGCACCCAGGACGCCTTCAGTTGGACCGTTAAAATACCCAAGATATAACACTCCAGTGTGATATTCTTCCCAAGTGGACATGTAAAAAGGTATAATGATTATGAGAAGGAAGGCAACAGCATAATAAGTATGCCCTAGGCCTAAGGCGCCAGCAAGAACCACAGCGCTAAAGGAGCAATCAAGTGCATCACATCCATGATCAAATAGCTCGCCGAGAGGTGATGAAGTTCCAGTACGCCGAGCTTGCTTGCCATCTATGTTGTCAAATGTTGAATATAACCATAAACCTACTGGAAAACTGTAAGGATGAGAGAAAACAATAAATAAAATAGAATAAAACCAATCTACAAAACATCAATCAAATTTGCTTAATATTTACGTCCAGTAGAGCCACTTTGGACCAGGTCCTACTAAATCACTAATCCAATAGATAACACTTAAGACGTTAATAAACACAAATCCTAATCCACACAAAGTTATCAAATTAGGACTGACGAATGAAAAATATAATAATAGGTAGATCAATTACTACTTAACATTTCATGATAAAGAAGAAAAAAAGACATTAAGCAAAAACTTACGCCATCCACCTGGGAATCCATTCGATTGCCCAATTCCAATAGTACTTAAGTATATAATTTGCTATTGGTGATTTATCTGTCGCACTGTACTTGTAATGCGTTAAGTGTTGGAGATCAGCTTCTCCGATATAATCTGCTTGTACAAACTTTATAAAGACGTCCATTGCTTACTATCAGATTTTGAATGTTAATCTTAAGTTAGCTTTTGACCCACTCAAAAAAATTTTACGCAAAAAAATATGCATACATATATATATATATCTATAATCTATCTATAATCTATATTTGTATTCGCGTTGTAAAATTAAACAATTAAACTGTAAACGATAAAGTCAGTACTTTAAATAATAGTGTAATAACGCCATTGGTCTGGATTGTTGTTAGGTGTAACCATTCTAACCACTGTCATATGAACGATCTGCTACGTAGGCCCCAACAGTGATCCAAATTTGAACTACATCACATTCTTTTTGGTGGGAAGTGGGGCAAAAAAAATTTATTTGTTAACCCATTTGGTGTCTTTGATTGATCGTTGCTAACATAAGATGCAACGGCTTTTTTTTTAAAAAAAGAAAAACGTATTCACAAGTTGATTTTACCGTATTTTCGCGTAATAACTCCCGTGAGCATTTTTTCGAATTTGGGCTCGAATTAAGCTTAATTCGGGCAAAATTCGAAATTACACCCCAGGGCGTTAGTACGGTTATTACGAGTAATTACGAGTTAATTGGGAAATAATAAAATTAAGAATACATTTTTAGATAGCATTGTTTTAATTATACGTATACACTATATCTTATACGTATTAGTTACTGTTACAATCTTTGCAATAGTTACGTATACATGCTACGTATATATATTGACTTTATATAATACGCATATAACTATTGTAAAAGTTAATTATATACCAAATAAAGATAGGTAAATTTTACGTATCAGACACACGATTTGTCACGCAGATCATGGGGTAAATTTTTTTAATATGAGGTCAAATGATTGACGCATCCAAATTTTATAAGTAAAATTTGTACAAAATTTGCTTTCTGGGATTATTTAACCAAAAAGAAGCTGTCAGTTTAATTTCCGGGTATAAGTTCATAAATTCTCTAACATTATAAGGTTCTTCCTGTGAAATTTCAAGGGTGGTTAAAAATAAATCTTTAAATAATCTAGTCCACGAAGTTGGCCAATTTTTTTACGATTTTTACCGTTTGTTTATAAGTGATGCAGGTGATGTACATCAATTATTCCAAAATAAGTAATATGGAAACGTCTACTAAATTTTTTTAATTGACGTTTCTATATTACTTATTTTGGAATAATTGATGTACATCACCTGCATCACTTATAAACAAACGGTAAAAATCGTAAAAAAATTGGCCAACTTCGTGGACTAGATTATTTAAAGATTTATTTTTAACCACCCTTGAAATTTCACAGGAAGAACCTTATAATGTTAGAGAATTTATGAACTTATACCCGGAAATTAAACTGACAGCTTCTTTTTGGTTAAATAATCCCAGAAAGCAAATTTTGTACAAATTTTACTTATAAAATTTGGATGCGTCAATCATTTGACCTACTATTAAAAAATTTTACATGTGACAAATCGTGTGTCTGGTATACGTACATACAAATTAATACGTATCAGGTATTGTACGTACGTTTAAAAACAGCACGTAACGTATTTTACTAATAAAGATATTAAAAATGAACTTATGTAACGTAATATTTAATAAAAAAAAAGTTTTTATTAACAAAAGTTGATATACATAATATAATATATATATAATATGTATAAATATTAGTGTATGTACCAGCACACTCTCTCCGCTGATCTTTATTTCTAAAAAAAGACAAAATCAATTTTTCAAGATTTTATCAAGAAATTATATATCAAACACCTGTTACAAGTTTAGGGAAAAAGGTCCAGCACAAAAAATTACAGTTATTTGTTTAGAACATCAAAGCAAATAACCTCTATAAGCAACAACAACGAAACCTTTCTGAAATTTTGACGAAATTTTTTTTACTTTTGGGAATTTGTGGTTGACTTGGAAAAAGTAAAAGAGTAGAACACGTGACTGTACAAAAATAAACAAACAACAAACAAAACAAAACACGTTCCGAATTAGGAAAATATTAAGTATATTGGAAATACTTATACAATACTAACATCACATGAATTTTTGAGCAAATCTAGACTGATCAAATCAATAGATCAGAAGATAAGATGCAAAAAACAGATATCATAGATTATATC